AGCGAGCTAGCTAGGTGAGCTAACGTTTAGCTTAGCATGCATACAGTAGCTTCTTATGTGGTTTGTAATGCAGTCCGAGTTACTACAATTACCTCCAGTTTATATATATTACTGTTAGCAGGTGGTTTAGTCATTAATCCATTATTTGCATCCTTTATTTTAGAAATGAACGGTCAAGCGGACGTCGAAGTTGACTACAAGCGGAAATACAAAAATCTCAAGCGAAAATTAAAATTCCTTGTTTATGTAAGTACAGATAATCTATATGTGTTCAGTCAGTCTTTAGCAATCACGTTTAGTACTTTATTAACACATATATGTGTCATTTTCTGCATTGATTGATCCTCTGCAGGAACAGGAATGTTTTCAGGAGGAGTTGAGGAGATCACAGAGGAAACTTCTCAAAGTGTCCAGGGACAAAAGGTGAGGACACATTTTTGCCATATTTATATTAATTAGACATTTTGTATTTGTACACATTTGTGTTCCAATGTTACTTTCCACCTTTTCGGTGTGTTAAAACATAACAAAATAAAGCAACCCTTTCCTCTAACCCTCACTCAGGACTCTTAGCCCAGATAAAATAACCCCCAAAAAAGAAACTCACACAAAACAATTTATTTAAGGACAATGAGAATCATTTTAAAGGTACTTACTTCAGGGAACAGATGCTTAGGGAATCAAGTATGGTCCAGAAAATATTCAACAATTAGATAATAGGCTGGAAATTGTCAGATTAAGTTGTTACGGAATTTTTCACCTTTTCTGATTGAAGAAAAATACATTGAATGATTTAGCAAGGATGTAGAAGGGGTTATAGCGTTTATAATGTGACATGATATGTCAACAGCTTGCTATGGCAAACCTAAAGGCAACAACATCAGAATCTGTAAGATGGCTGCTATAACAGGGCAGGGTTCCAGTGTAACATCAAGGGCTTTCTTTTATGTACTTAAGAAACAAAAATGGCTTATTCTAGACAAGAAAAAAACTTGAACGTGATCAAAATGTGAAGGTGAGATCACATTGTGTGTACTTGAAAATGTGTTTACGTTAAACAATGTCCTTCACTTGTTTTCTAGCTTCCTCCTGGACAGACTGCTACAGTACGAGAGGGTAGATGAAGACTCCTCAGGTAATCCAAACTTTCTTAACAGTATCGAGTGTTTATGACTACGTAAATGTAGGAGTTGTAAACAGTAGGTGGATTTATGTTTTCTTGTCTTCTGTTCCAGATTCAGATGCAACAGTTTCTTCAGAAAACAGTGAAGGAGAAGGCCCCAGGGAGAGGGAAAGAGAACGAGATGTAACAAAGAAGTAAGCCAAACATTTATACTCACTGACTTGGTGTTGCCTATTGAACCGAATGGACCACTGTGAGAAAACATGTTGCACTGTGAATGCCCTTTCTGCCACACTGAGTTTCTCTTAATCTCTCATGTACTCTTTTCAGGAGAAGAAGTAAATGTACTGTACTTATATAGCGCTTTATACAGTCTTTACGACCCCTCAAAGCGCTTTACATACTACATGTCATTCACCCATTCACACCCATTCATACAGAGCAGTGTACCTTACTCTAGGAACTAACATTCACACACACTCACACACCGTTGGCCATCGGGAGCAACTCAGGGTTAAGTATCTTGCCCAAGGATACATCGACATGTTTGCTGCACGGGCTGGGATCGAACCCACAACCTTCTGGTTGAAAGACGACCGCACTCCCTCGCAGCCACAGTCGCCCACTGTGAATGCCCTTTCTGCCACACTGAGTTTCTCTTAATCTCTCATGTACTCTTTTCAGGCGAAGAAGTAGTCCTGGAGCGTGTCTCCCATCTTCCTCCTCCCCTCATCTCTCCCTGCTGTCCCGTTCTGGTGTGAACCCCCTGCAGTCCTCAGGCTCTGGACCTTACCTCAACACTGTGAGTTTCCATCTCCCTTTCTCATATCTTAGTGCGGCCAGCAAGATGAACATTGCTGCCGCTGCCCTGTCCTCATCAGCAAACATCTGTGTTTTAATTTGGCATTGTTTATATCATTTGATTATTTTTTCATACGTTTTTATATCTTCATTTGGTGCTATTCGATGTCTATTATGGCTCCACTGTCGTTGCATTGTTCATTTTTCTTTGTATTTTTTTGTGTGTCTGTCTTGTAATGTTGCCATGCATGTGTGTTTGTGTGTTCATTTGATGTTTGGGGCCCTGCGTGTGTCGGGCAGATGCCCTTCCCACCGGAGTATTTGGCTCCTCCAGCTGAACGAGTGAAGAAAGAGAGAAAAACAAAGACGCCTAGAAACAAGAAAGAGACAACGGGGAAGGTGAGAGAGGAAGAGAAACAAAAAGATATTCATAGCTTACAAAATACATATTCACTGCTTTCCTCTTGCATATATTAATGTGCCATTTATGTTAATTAGCACCCAAGTCAATTCTAGTCGGTGGTATTTAGGTCACAGAATATATGCATAGCAACAAGGAAATACTATTTGTTTACTTTTATGTTCTCCTTAGAGAATCCAAGATGTATGTATTTAGTGTGATCCACATTAGCACTAGCATGAGCATTAGCTATTGTTCCTGATGTCACATAAACAGTCAAACAAACATTTACACACTATAGTCACATTAACACAACAAACAAAACAACTCATCCCAAGTATGGAAGTGCAACCATCCCCTTTCAACCATCTTACAGAGGCCCGATATTGGTTTTTGTGTGTCATATAGGTTGTTGTGCATGTAGATGGTCTGCAAATAAGTGTCTGCAAATGAGCATAATGTGTCCTCTTTAAGCCAAAGACAAATCTAAATGAAATTGTTTGAACACAAATATATATAATTCCTGCAATGAAGGTAAAACAAAGGTTGTAGCCAATCTTTAGTATTTTCTTGAACAATATGCACCGGCAATGAATTGGTTGAGTTGACCTTCTTGCACAATATTGCAGACAGGTGTTGATATAGTAACTCAACTTCAATATGTATTTTAAATAATGACATTCCAGGACACTGATTTGTTGATTACTGATTTATTATCTTTGCTTTGTACATCTGTAATGCAGTTATCCATCCAGTTATACCCCTCATTCCTTCATCTTATCTCCATCCCTTTGTCCTTCCTCACATTTTCACTCTTATTGTTTGCATTCCTCTCAGGTTGTTGCCCCCATGGCAGCTAATTACCCATCAGCCCCTGCGGCCCCCCCGGCAGCCAGCAGCCCGTTCAGCTGGGTTCCCCGACAGATGCTGAGCGGAGACGCAGCGGAGGAGGAGGGGGGAGAGCGACGGAGACAGTGACAGAGGAGATGAAGACAGAGGGGAGGGAGACGAGGCTGAACTGGTCATTGACCTCCCGAATGAGTGAGCCGCAGTGTGTGGTTAGATGTATTTATAAGCAAGGGATGCAGGGTTTGTACATCTGTGTGTGTGAGAGTGAAAGACAGAATGTGACTGAATGTATTTCCTGTTTCCACTTGTGGACTTTTTCCTAATTGCAGTATCACTATCAAAGAACTCTCCCAGATAGATGTGGTTTTTACATGTGGAGAATTACATGTGTGACTAAATAACAGTTTGAGGAGAAATCCACAGCCAGTGAGATGAATGGATCGTTTTTTCTGTTAACATTTCCAAGCTGCTGATTACTTGTCTAAACAGTTTATCAATCTACAAAGTGTGACTAAGACTAGGTGTGTCCTGCATATAGAGAGCTTTTGTTTATTTGTTTTGCATGACACCATCTTGGTATTGCATAAATGCTGCACTCCATTAAAGCTAGTGTAATTTAGATCTTTTCAGATGTTACGTCTTTTGTACTCGTTACAGGAGGTTCTGTCGTTTCTACTTCTACAATGTTCAATTTCTTTTACACAATGTGTCATAAGTCAAAGCTACACCCTGTCAATTCCAATGTTGTTTGCACCTTTTCAGATGTGTGTGTAAAATGTCAAACTAAAAGATTTTGTTTTAAATTGAAATTGTGTGTCACGTTTCATTCACAGATTCTATGGACACAATGCTACAACTAGTTTACATAAAACGATGTATTAAGGTTGTATGTTTGTTGTCTTAAACTAAGTGTGTAGTGTGCCCCACCCAAAGCATCACACCCTAAAAATCTCATTCCAGTCACTCATCGAGGTGTGCTACAGTCTGTGTGAACACTTATTGTACTCAGGACATGTGTACTTCACTACATACAAGCTGTGTTTAAGAACATCTTATTGAAACCTGGTTCATGTTAGTTATGCACATGTTGTTTTCTTTACTTGATTGCAAAGAGTCCTTATTCCACTCTTGATAGAAGCCCAGGGGGACATTTGGCGGATGTTTGCCACAACTCTTTAGCAACTTAAGGGCAGAATAGCTGGACTCACTCCACCTCTCCTTCATGCCAAAAAAGAAAGCTGGACATGTTTGTGTTCACTCTTACTCATGATAATTAGATAGCATGCAGATTGCTGTTAATGCAACTTAGCTATTTTATAAAAACGTGTCGCAACATGCAAGGATAGAAAACCTGAAACCTTTAATAGAAAACCAGCTGTAATATGTAAGAGGGAGTGTGTTTTTATCCAGGAAGAGCTCAATAATCGCTGCACTCTGTGATACAATGACCCGTGACTTTGACACTGTCAGGATTAAGTTTTAATGAGGATGACATTGTTACATTTAGCTCAGTCAGTGACATTTTAGCTGCTGTTATAAGTGAGAACTCCTGCCTGATAAGGACCTATCTTATCAAAGCAGCTGTACCTTTTCAGCTCTTCTCAGGAATGTGATTTACACAGAATAATGAACAATGAGAGTGTGTCACTCCAGGCACTAACCTCTACAACGACCATTGTTTTGGAATGTGGACTTACAGGTATTGGGCAGCTTTTGATGGGTGTGTGCGTTGCTTGTATACTTTACAGCAGTGGGAGTTAAAGGTGTAACCATAGAGCGCTTAAGAGGGAGGGGTGAAGTAGAGGTACTGCCAGAGGGAGAGTGGAAGAGGGAGGAACTGACAGAGGGGGCGAGGTTGTCAGTGAAAAGGGAAATGAAGGAGTAAGCAGGATTGTGCCTGCAATACAGATCCACTCTGCTGACTTTCAAAGAACAAAGCCATGGGTGGACACAAACTGCAGCAGAGAACCAGGAGCCAGTGAGAAAACAACAACCTTATCTTTCCCATCTATAAACGGAAACCACTGGATAATTTAAAAGCCTCTCCCTCCTGCTCTGTGTGTGTGTGTGTGTGAGGCAGAGGGGGGATTTGCTGAGCTCACCACCACCATGCTGCGTCCTGCTGCTGTCAGTGCAGCTGTGAGTGTGTGTGTGTGTTTGCTGCTGGGCCTGTCTCTGGCAGATGAGGACTCCTCGGAGCCGAGCCTCTGCAGCGGCTGCTTCCACAGACGGACGCCTCCTCAGGGGGGGTCCTTGGGGCTGCGCTCGCTCTGCCACAGCCTCCCCGGGGGACAGGCGTTCGCCTCGCTGTCCAAACCGTCCTGTGACACAGCTGTCTGCACGGCCTTCACTCTCAGCATCGCAGGGACGGAGGAGGGGGGAGGGCATGTTGATGTGGTAAGGCAAATCTATCATGTTGTTTACAGTAGGACTACCTGCTTTTGAATGATGGATTTTGAAAAAATAACTGTATAAATCACAGATGGGGATTCCAGGATGCAGTTTCGTTACTTTCACTTTGATTCTGTGCTCCTTTATACTTCGACTCACCTTCAGAGAAACACGATATGTGTTTACTCAACTGTATATTTGACAGATATAGTTTCTATTCAGATTAAGATTTTATATACATGATAAGATAATACAATAAAAACATTGTTGAAAAATGAATCTATTTGTTCCTAAACTCTTTGTGTTTATTTAAAAAAACTCCTAAGCTTTTGAAATGATTAATCGAACATGTAATACAATAAATCATATTTGAAAGTACTAGCTGAAGTATATGTAAGTTAAATGGGGCCTATTTGTCTCTTTCCTGTAGTGTGTTATATGGGTTTGTGTGCATGTAAATGGTCTGCAAAGGCTAACATCCCTGTATTCCTTCAAGAGGAGTTTCTCACTCCCCCCCCCCCCCCCCTTCATGAAATGTCTCTATTGGACTCCTTTGTGTACTCACGTAACATAGTGACATCACTATGTAACACTTGAGCTTCTATTGGCTACAACACATTGTACGTGATAGGCTATGGGGTGGGACATTTCTAAGTGGTTGACCAATCACAACAGAGCCGGCCAACTAACCAATCAGAGCAGACTGGGCTCTGGTTTCAGACAGAGGGTGAAAGAGGTGCTGCAGCACAGGCAGTATGAGAACAATAAAGAGCTTTTTGAACATTAAAGCATGGAGACACGTCTCAGTAGAGCAGGGGTGTCAAACTCAAATACACAGTGGGCCAAAATCAAAAAATGGGTACTAGTCGAGGGCCGGACTGGTTCAATGTTTATTGCAAAACTTATCGAAATGAACTTATTGCACATATTAAACCTGGAACTAACAAAGCTTAAATGATTGCCTATAAAAACAACATTAAATAATCAGTTGCATTAATTTCTTATGGCTCTATCTGCAGAGTCATTTCTTATGAGTACATTTTTCCACAGGCCAACAACAGCTTCAAAAAAACAATTCCCCTCAAAGAACAAACCAAACATGCCCTGTTGCCGTGCAGAAGGAAACATCCATTAAACTCAGGTTGCTGCTCTGTGATGCTAGTTCAGATACTTGGCATCTCATCTTGGGTGCAAGGTCATCAATGTTTGGGCTCAGGCTCTGAGCTGAGGAGACCCTCAGGATTGAGTGAAGGTGTGCGTGCAATATACCGGCGGGCCAGATCTAATAGTAATTAGAAATTATCCTGCGGGCCGAAATTAAATCCACCAAGGGCCTGATTTGGCCCCCGGACCTTGAGTTTGACACATGTGCAATAGAGGAACAAAATACGACCTGAAATTAGCATAATAAACCCCGCTTTATACAGGGTTATAATGTACACTTTCATATATGTTACACTCATACTGTGGCTCTTCTTGTTTCTGGCAGACAGAGGAAGACAACAAAGTAGCGGTACCAGCCCTTCTCAGAGGAGGGGATACATCTCACCCTGTCTCACCCACAGACTCCCCCCTTCAGCTCTGGGACGCCACAGTCACAACACTGGTCCGGTCCACCATCTCTCCCAAATGCAGCTCTTTAGGCGGAGATCTCTACATCCTGACGGGGGTGGGGGGTCTCGGGGCGGCTGAGGATGGAGACGAGGAGTGTCAGATGAAGCCTCTGTGGTCTGCAGTGTGCTGCGCCGTCCCGGAGGGGAAGAGGGGCTTCAGTTTGGGGTTAATCACAGAGACAGGGGAAGGGGAGAGGCAAATGAGCGTTAAAGAGCTGGAGGAGATGCTAGGAGTGGCAGAGCTGTTCGCAGAGGGATGTGGAGGAGCAGCTGGGGAGATTGTTGACATCAAAGAGGGTCTTCACAGTGAGGGGCTCCCTGGAAACCTAGAAATATTGGATGCAAATCTTACTGATGAAAACAAAGGAGACAAAGATGCAGAATCAAACCCTGCAGGTGGAGGCGCTGATGGAGAGGAGGTTAGTTCAGGTTCAAAGAAAGGAGAAGAGGCTGGTTCAGAAGGTAGTGTTGAAGAGCAGAGCGATGTGACTCAATCACGATCTGTCAGATCAGAGTCTCCTGAGTCCTCAGCCGACTATGGGGCTGTGGAAGAACAAGAAACAGACACTAACTCCAGCTCCATGTTGGTCTACGTCCTCTCCACCACCTTGTCCATCCTCAAAGCTCCGCTGCGACCGGTGTTCTCCAGAGTCACAGATTTCCCTGGACAGGTGATATAAGTTACTGAAGCACTGTTTTATTTGATGTGGATTAAAGGGACACTTCTGCATCGCTGCCACAAGGCTCACAAGAGAATGGTCTGAAGCTAATTGTAATGGCCATTTAAGTGATCCAATGTCCTATTCTGCTAGCCTTACACAGTAGAGTGGAGAAAGTGATCTCACGCAGTCACAAACAGGGCCATTTTCCAGTCATTGGATGCAGTTTAGTTGAATGTATATTGAAGCAGTTTAACAATTCTGCATCTGGTAAGAACGGCCTTACCGGTCACCTATGACCCTATTTATTAAATCAAATCAAGTTTTATTTATATAGCACATTTATAAACGATTTATGGTCGAGCCAAAGTGCTGTACATATAATAAAAATAGCCTACAGTAGAGACACTTTACAGCAAATACAACAGCACAGATTGTTCAGAATATCAGTATGAGAAAAACGACACCCTCTATGCTTAGACCCTCACATCGTACAAGGAAAAACTTCCAGAGAAAACCCACACATTTATACACTCTGTGCAGCTAAATACTATTGCATGACAAATCGAAACAAAATAATATAACATGGCAGCAATAAACGGAAAAAGCTCCTTCACAAATCATTCTACTCTTCCTGTAATGCAGAGGACTCAAAGGCTTTATTAGTCATATGCACAATAGCTACAGTGTAGTTAAGGAAATGAAAATCTTAAGAGCCAGGCTCCTCCAAAAATGCAACACAAGAAGTAAAAGACACAAGAGCCAGCCACAACCCAGTTTCTAACGCAGGCTTTCTACTACACATTTTTGAAGTGAAAGGCCAAGTCGGATAACATTTTCAAGTTACCTGTTTTAGACTTTAGAGTGTTTTTGCAGAGAAACAGAAAACATTATACAACTGTTTTAACAGGCAGAGTACGATTCCTCATTGCAAGGAAAGTGTATAAGTGCTCCTTTAATTTGACCAATTACAGCCAACATATTTCATAATGACAAGTACTTTAGCTCATGTAGAGTAACTGATAACTACAATGAATACTAAAGGAAGGGAAAATAATAAAAGAAAAAAATTAAACAAGTCTATAAAAGGCAACAAAACCACATTAAAACCGGAACGCAGCAACAGCAGCAAAATATTACAACTGATAGACTATTACAGCAAGAATCTATTAATTAGAACGTGGAGATGTTTAGTGTGTTTGCAGGGAAACTATTCAGTTTAAACAGGTTGAGTTTCAGTGATTATTAAATCTCCTCATGCCAGTGTGCTCCTCCCAGACACTGGAATGAGGTGCGACCTGCAGCAGGTGTTTACTCCTTACAGGCCCTCAGGTTATGTGTCATTTTATTATTCACACCATTCTCTCAGATAAAATATTAAATAATTGTTCTCTTCCCAGGTGACATACGTTCTTCAGGAAGACCTCGGGGTTCTGTCTGCCCTGCCTAGAGAAACCTACTCTCTATTCCACCTCCTGACCTCGGACTTCTTGTCCTGTATGGGCTCAGCTGGAGATACAATCCTCGATATCGGTGAAAACTGCTTCTCCAACACCTACTACGTGTCCTCCTCCATGCTGGGGGCTTTAGTGGACAGCTGCTACACGGGGGTCACCGGCGTGGGGACCCTTGCTGGAGACACTGTGGGGATATGTGGGGAAGCGTTGGATAATACTTGGTGGGTGACCAAGTTCTTCGGGGGGCGGCTGTGGGAGCAGAGCGAGGGCTACGTGGGGACGGTGGTGTCAGAGATGGGGGGTCAGGCCACCGCTTTAGGTGGAGGGTTTGGGAGGCTGGTGTGGAGAAGTGGAAGTGCGGTGTTTAATGTCTTTAGAACGGGAGGGGGTTTAGTGTTTGGAGTGGTGGATGTACTCATTGGTGGGATGAGAATGGCTTTGGGGAATGAGTCAGAGTAGAAAGTCCACATGAAGCCATTAAACGTTTCAATTTATTTCTCAATTTGTGAATTTCTTTAAAGAGTATGAAAAAAGGGGGTACTGTTTCACTTTGATGTAATTTAATAATAATTAAATAATAAATATAAATTGTATTCAAGGCGGCTTTCATGACACCCAAGGACATTTGTTAAATATTCTAAGAGGTAAAAGCATGAGAACAAGATAAAAACACAAACATACCATCATGGAGAAGACAATTAAAGTGGACACAAATGATAGGGTCAGGTTATTCAGGGGAAACAGATGACAGAGTTGGCTGATCTGAGATCATTTGATACTGTATGCCTTAGCTGTTTTAGAAGGATAGCCATATGTTTTTGAGTCGAATTTAGTGGTATTTACACTGTAGGTCTTACACTTCACTGTGGCTGGCTGTCCAATACATCTGCTGCTGCGACAAGCAACCCCACTGTGATTTAAAAACCACTGTGCACAAGGCTTTTGGATGTAGATATATTCAAAACTATTCCTGTATGATAGTTGTTATGGTTAATGTTTGCTTACATGTACATTTTAATAAAAGAGAATGCTGGCTTATCGCATTGTTTTTGTCTTTGTGTGTGCTTGTGATATATGCAATATTTTACTCTATACTGAGCTGATTAACTGACAGAAAGGTATACCTTTACATTTTGCAGAAAAAGCATGATAAGTTTAACCAGAGGTGGAAATTCATGAAACTGGACTTGGGTTCTAGTTGACACTCCTACTTTATTTGGGTATTACCATTTCAGTTTTTTTTTTTACTATTTTTCAGGGTGAAGTTAAATGCTTTTGAATTCACAAAAAATAACTCAACAGGTAAGGATTTAAAGGTGGGGAAGGTAATTCACTTCAGAAACACTTTTTGTTATATTACATGGAATGCTCTTAACATCCCGATAGCAATGAATACATTAAATGCTTTGACAATAAATACATAAACAATTTTCATAAAAATGTCATAGTACGCCGTAGTACTGTAAAAAGCACGACCAATCATCTGAGCCGGCCCGGCTAAAGTAACTGGATGGCCTACCTGCCTGTCAGCCTTCCATCTGTGCACAAACTTATCTCGTGCCCTCATTGGTCATGTGCGCGTTCGTGTGTGTTGGAGGAGGGGCTCTGTAAGGAAGTCTGAAGGAAGGGGCTAATTTTTTTCGGCTGAGTACTTTCAAATTCTAGCGCACTCGAGCTGGTTTCTCCATTCTTAACCTACCTTACCTTTAACATAATAACTTGCAGAGGTGTATACAGGGACGCGGGAAGTCAGTCAGAGTTGGGGGTGCGGCGTGCGTGTGCAGGGGTGGGTACAAGGCACAGGTGATGTGAAGCTCATAAAGTGAGGCAAATAGAAATAATCAGCTGATGGAGTGTAGATGTGGAAATAGCTGCATCCGATCAGCTGACTGTGTTTTCACAATAAAAGTAGTTTCTTAGTGAATGTCCTGTACTAGTCTTAAAATCTCATAACATCAGCTTTTAATGTTGCTCTTGGATGTTCTTCTTGACCCTCAGAGAAGGAGAACATGTCGTGTCTTTCAGGCATGTCCTTTCCTAACAAAAATGACAGGAAACATAAAACATATTATTGCAGAACAAGTGTATTATTTATGAAAGCGGTGTGTTTGTGTGTTTAGGGGCTGTTGATATAATTATTTTGTAATTGTAATGTTTTTTTTTTATTTCAACAATGAGCTACAAAGACAATCAGATTATGAATGAACAGTATGAAGTTCATCAACATTGAAATATATGTTATTATCAAAATAATATTGAACTGTTATCAAAACATAGCGCAACTGTAGCTTGCTCTGTTGTCTCACTGAAAGAATCACTTTTACCACGTTTTTTACAGACAGTATTGAGAGATAAATAGTAGCAGTTCTCACTATGTGTTAAATATCTTTGCCTTCAATACATTAAATTAGAAAGCTGACAAAGTCATATTGCTAAATATCTAAATGTAACCTTTTGCATGGAAAAAACCCTCAACTTAACTGATGTGTAGGTGATCTAGTATTTAGTATTGTTTAATGGAATGTATATCAGTGTATTAAAGTCAATACTTCATTCATTTAAACCAATATCTTTCTTGATTATTTGTACAGTATGAAAAAAAGAGTCTTTGTACCTGTGCTGAAGTTCACTGCTGTGAGGAGTCCAGTTCTGTCTCTCACTCTCTGGTCCAGCCTGTCTGCATCACCTGGACACCTTAAACAAACAGATATATATATATATGTAAAGTACCATGTGTACAAACAATATAACTGATTCTCTTCTGTTGAACATGTTGGATTGTGTATTGTCCGAGTCAGGGTCCTGTTTATTTTACTGTAACTTTGGAAATTGTGTTACCAATGCTTACTGTTTATGTGATACCCATTTGGTAATGCAATTAATAAAAACAACAAGGTTTGGGTTCGTTCTTCAGATGACTGTGACGTTAACGTGTAAGCTCAATAATGAACTCCAGCTCAACCAACCATATTGTAATATCTAAGTAATCATCTTGAAATATGACATTAATAATTGTAATATACACATCTTATTGTGAGGTTGATTTCACATACACTACTTCGACATTAGCTTGTCTACATACTTGAGCATAGCCAATTTAAAAATCATAATTTGAAAAATTATTGATTCGAAAATAATATGATGCAGTATTACGTCTGGGTCTCTGTGTTTCATTAAAGCTTGACTGTGTGTGTGTGTGAAACGAGCCATTTTGTGTGCACGAGCGAGAGAGAGCGCACCGGTACTGGAGATCGTTGTTGTTAGCTTCTGGTGCTAGCGAGCTACGCTAACAGATATAAGGAGTTTTTTCAACAACAAAGTGGAGGAGAGTCCTCTCCTGTCAGACTGAGAGACTCAGTGAGCTAAAGGACTCTCTCAGTGTTATCTCAGTGGGTCTCAAACGTTTTGGTCACCATTAATGTAAACAATTATTTCCGAGGCACACATTTATTTGATCATTATAGTTATACAAAAATAAGAGAATAAATGAAAAACAGGTATGAAATACTATATGACAGTAAAAAAAGAATAAAGTTTAAAAGGGTGATTTGTAAAATATCCATAAAGAAAAAGTAAATCTGTTTACAGTTCTGTTTCATATGGGTGTTGAGAGAGGTATCCATAGATCTCTTCATTTTGCTCTCAAAGTGCACCAGATGGATGCTTTTAACTTCAATATGTAAGCACCCCCAAAAGAAATCTCTGGCGCCGCCACTGAGCCTGACTATTTGTGTTGGGGGGGCCCGACTTTTTTTTTTCTCCAAAGGGGGGGCCTGACAGAAAAAGTTTGAGAACCACTGCGCTAACCCAAGCCTTAACATTCATTACGTAGCTGATTAAAATCATTAACACATAAATAAGTACTCGATTTTCACTTACCGCAAAACCGCATGCATGCACCGTCTGTTTCAACCTCAGAGCGAGTCACAATAATCCGATATATAAGCATGAAGAACAAACAACCACGGCCGGGGTCAAGTTGTGTTCCCTGGATGAACTGAGCAGGCAGAGTGCCTGTAGCTTCACGGAGCAGCTAGCAGAGAGACAAGAAGCTAGCAGCAGCAGTCACTTGACAGAGCCGTCACTCAATGTGACCACGCCCTAATTTATGCAAACACTTTAAGACCTAATATACATAAAAGGGTCGTGTTAGAAAACAATTCACTCACAGTCACAGATCCATAATCATGAAGGTGGAATCTAAATATATTCATAATAATATCTATTGCATCCATGGGTAGAAACATGTTTTTTTCTGCTGTAAAGTTGGGCATTTTAACATGAGGGTCTATGGAAATTGCTCCTTTCTGCAGTCAGTCCCTTTCAGCCAATATATGAACTGCAGTGTGTGGCACTTCCGTATTGGCGTCCCGGCTCTTCCCCAGAGTTTGCCGCTTGGTTCAAACCATGGTTCAAACATGCTGTCGACACGTAAAGCAGTGGCAACTATGCCACCATTTCAGCTGACTTTTTCTCAGACATACTGTCACATAACATCCATATATTTCAGTGCTAGGTTGATGCTTAGCTAAGCTAACTATGAAACACTTTAACTGACAGGACTCAGGATCAACTGTGTACTGTAAGGTAGCTTCTAGCTTCATGTCGAACAGTAAGTCAACATTTCCCAGAGAGCTTTCTTTGAAATCACCAGGTAACGCTAAAAAACATTACATTTAGATTGTATGACAAAGTGTTTATTTCATATCTCTGGCTAGCTATAGCTACTTGCTAACGGTTTAGCTTACCCCCGCGATTCAAAGTAACGTCAACGTAGCTGTTATTTATGCTTTGCTTACATGTTCGCAATTCGCATAACTTGGAAGTTTACTGACATTTACATACCTTGTTTACCTGACTCAAGTGGTGGCTCTGGGGTTGTTGTGTGAGCCATCTCTTGACAATTGTCGTATTTTTTAAGAAAAAATGTTCTTATGTCCATCTTCAAAAACTCAGAGTCCGACTGACAGTTTAAACATTGTCACAGGATAGGTACCTGTCAGCCAATACGACATGTTTATTTCCATGCTACACTCTGGTTGGTCTGGTGTCTTGTCTTGCCGGGAAATTACAATTCTGCCGTCCTCTCATGATGAGGTTCAGGTAAAGCACGGTTAATGTATTATATTATTGAGGGAGAATTGTCCGGGGCTACAGAAAAAACATTCGGGGCTTTGGTCCTGTATAATAACGTCATATTAAATGCAGTCATTTGGTCTTTAGCAGCTTTTGAGAGCAGTGCATTCATCGGTGTTCGTTTGAATGGTTTTAATGCTGCCAGTTTGTTGACGGCCTGTGTGTTGATGGGATTTCTCATGCTCCCTAAATGTTTTCCCTGCTTTTTGCCAGTTCGTAAATCCTCCTTTCACAAAACTCCCATCCCTGATCTTGTCTGCACTGACAATCTTCTTTTCTATAGCAGAGCAACAGAAGAAGCACACCACATTATCTATATTATGTATAGACTGCTTACACTAAAATGCTAACTCAAAAATAGTAACTCAAAATAAAGCTTTTGTATTGATTTGTTTAGTGAACCTTTTGGCGTTGCAGTTACAACTCTCCGCCAACAGATGGGGGGGGTGCTGCAGCACCCTCAGCACCCCCCCCCTTCCCGCGTCCCTGGGTGTATAGTAAGTATATATTTTCAAGTACTCTACTTCAGTATACAATGTTGAGATACTTGTACTTTACTTGAGTATTTCAGTTTTATGCTACTCTGTTATTCTACTCCACGACAATGTAGCTAGCATTCCTAGCATTCGGTGCCATTTCAGCTAGGGTATTAAAAAAATAAAAAACATAATTTCCCATGTTTTTTAAAAATGTAATCTGAATGATGGCTTGTTAAAGTATAAGAAAAATATTTTGGTCAAACTCAGGATATTATGCTTAAAATTATTTTCTTTTTTTACCATCCCCAGTTACTGTGTGTGCACCCTGTTACTGTGCAAAATAGTAACAGGGTGGACATTTTATGCTAAACTTGGCTATTGCTACATGTGTGATGATAATCAAGCTAGCACTTGGTGACAACAGAAAC